TCTCCTCCTGCTGGTCCCCCTTCCCTTAGACCTGAGACGGCACAGACAAGGGCCCTCCTCCATTCTGCCAGATTTAATCGCTGGCTCCACTACCCATTGCTCAAACCACGCTAAGTCCCTCGGCGTCACTCTCGACTACCACCTTATCCTTCGACAGCGACACCAACTTATCAGGTCTTGCATCTACACCACCTCTGAGGCTTCTGTCATTGACTTTTGCAGCTCTGCCCTTGCTCGACCTTCATCAAGCGACCTCAAGAAATTCCCCAATGGTTGCAAAACCATCTCTGCCGTGCCATCCTGGGCGCATGTCATCACCCCATACCTATACTCTTTGGTTCTTTCGGTAAAGTCACGTAGGTATAAAATAAAATGAATCACGACGTTTCGGGCGCAACACAAGCGTCCGTCATGATTTATTGTATCTTATATCTACGTGACTTTACCGAAATAACCAAAGAGTATGGATTCCTGCAGTCACGAAAGCTTCAAATCAACATCCCATACCTGTCAACCCCCCTTATCAGTGCCCTACCTTATTACAGACCAATTCAGACCTTATTGGTCACCCCGTGCCTTATAAATCGCAACGTTCATCCTATAAAGTCCAATCACAAGGGAGAAACACAAACAAATAGACAATTGTATGTTTTACTTGTATTGAAACGGCTGTACGCCGTATGGATCTGAAAAGTCAATGTCCCTGACCAATAACACGGGGTAAACCGTACGGGTTGACACGGTATGTAATCCTCGGCTAGATTCCCTCAACCTCCCTCCACCACCTCCACGGGCTTCTCCACCGTCGCCAGCAGGGTCGACCTACATGGATTGCCCTGCTGCCCGTGCTACCCACCGCCCCTCGGTCGTCTCCCTTGGCCGCCGTCACCATGCACTTGTTACGGGATGAAAACGGACGGGTACACATGGGTGTCCACATCCACGTCCGCAAACGGTTACCACCACCCTGGGGGGCTGTGGAGGGATGCTGTGATCCCACACAGCCCCGCCTCTCGGTGGCAAGTTGGTATAAAAGGTGGAGAGCCAGAGAGCTCGAGGCAGACGTTGGGAACGGGTCAAGATGAAGAGCCACTGAAGATCTAAGGCCACCCAGCTCGTCCCTGGAACTCCCTCTGGTCGCTGTTCTTCTAAGGGCCGGCCGGAGTAAGCCAGCGGTGCGACTAGCCAGAGCCGCCAAGGTCGACGTCCTTCTGAGGGCCGACTTCGTGTGGCTGGTAGTCGGGATCTGTGCCTAGCCAGGGCCAAGATCAGGTCGTCTCCTTGAGAGGACGAGTGTGAGAATAAGTGGCAGCTAGCCTGGGATTACTTACCCTTAATAAACGGGTGAACGGGCCGCTCGCTACCTATTCTGTTATACGCTGTACCTACGTAAGAGTTAATAAACAGGTGTTGCCTCAAGCTCGACAGTCCCTGTCGTCACGACACTTATGACAAGCTCGGGGCAGAGCCCTCTCGCACAGCAGCGCCACTCACAACATCCTCTCTACACCAAGGGACCCGGACCATGGCCACTGCTGGGCGTCGTTTCTCCGTTGGCAGCCCCGGCCGTCTTGCAGTGTGTGGCCATCATCCCCCGCTGCGCATTCACAGAAATAGCAGCAGCCGGCGATCAATCTGTCGATCTCTAAGAGACGCAAAAAGCCACCACCTCTTTGTTAAAGGCATCACCTTTTTATTAAAGCCTCATCTCTTTCTCAAAAGCCTCACCTCTTTCTCAAAAGCCTCACCTCTTTCTCAAAAGCCTCACCTCTTCAAGGCCTCACCTCTTCAAGGCCTCACCTCTTCAAGGCCTCACCTCTTCAAGGCCTCACCTCTTTAAGGCCTCACCTCGCACGGCCTCACCTCTTTCTTAAAGGCCTCATCACCTCTTTCGTCCGGCTTTCGGGTGACACTGAGCTCCTCTCCGCGCCTGAAGGGTCACGGGGTCGCTCGTGTCCGTGAGATATTGTGCGCCTTTACACAATGCATGGCGGCATTGTTAAAATACACTTCATGAGTTTGTTGTTGTTTTTATTGGAGACAGCGGCGGCCGGGGTGAGGGTGGGCTACACGGTGGGCCACACAGAGGGCAATGCAGCAACATTGTTGGTTGTACTGCGCTTGTATGCTCCCAATGTTCGTGCTGACCGGCGTGGGGAGGCCCTCCCTCATCCAGCAATGGAGTGACAAAGAGGGGCTGTATATAGTGCATGTGTATTGTTGTTGCGTGTGACGGTTTTGTCACGGCGATGCGGTTGAGTGAGTCGGGTTGCATGTTAGCATTACGGCTGTATTATTATGTCACCAAATAAGTAATGAGATGTCCTGTGATGATAACGCTGTGAATTCTAGTGAGTCTCTGTTTACACGCAGGATTACTGCTGGTGTGAATGGGTGGGGTGGGGCGATTTTGGGAAAGCTGTTCGGAAAAAGCTCCACACCCGCACGCTTTACACAACATTATGTAATGCCGTCACTTACCCCCCTTATACACTCTTCTCTCCCCTGGTGGGTGGGAGGGTAGTCACATAAACACCCCAATTCATTCCAGCAGCAAGCAGTTTGGTGCGGAATATGGAGAGGAAGTGGAGGGGGGATGGGGAGAATGGGGGGGGGGGGGGTCGGGGAATGGGAGAGTAGGGGCGGGGTGGGACAGGGAATGGTGGGGAATGAGTAGAGGGGGGGGGGAATGAGTGGAGGGGGGGGGAATGAGTGGAGGGGGGGGGGAATGAGTGGAGGGGGGGTAACTGGTTGTGGGAGGCGAGGAGAATTGAGGAGAGTGGTGGGAATACCGTAAGGAGATGGAATAGGAGGGGGAAGAAAGGAGAAAATCGGGGGTGGGGGGGATGGGAGGAGTTGGTGGAGAATAGAAGATGGAGTGGGGTGAATAGGGAAGGGAGTGGGGGGGCGAATTGGGAAGGAGGGGGGGGGGAAGTAAGAAGGAGTTGAGAGGAAAGAATGAAGGAGAGGTGGGATGAAGTGTGGGCACAGGAGGGTCGCGAGAAGCGGGAGCAGCGGGTGTGAGAGAGAGAGGGAGATTGGTGCGAGGGAGAGTGGATGTCGTGATTAAAGGGGAGACGGGGAAGCAGTGGGGTATTGAAGGGGAGGGAGTGAGCCCCAGGGATGCCGAGAAAGCAGCAAAATCCCCAGGATCCAATCCCTGATTCGTGGGTCCTGGCTGGGAGACCCGACGGGTCCGACTCTTCCACTGGGATCTTTGAGCAGCGTGGATGTGTCCCCCATTTGTCGGTGAAATCATCACTATTCTTAGGTTTTTTCGGTAAAGTCACGTAGATAAAAAATTAAAATTAAAATTAATAAAAGTAAAATAAAATAAAAATCACGACGTTTCGGAGGCAACACAAGCTTCCGTCTTCAGGTGGAACCGTCACAGCACGATAGCTGTATCAAGTAAGAGAAATTCCAAGAACACAGTATTTGTATATATACTGGTTGAGGGTGGGAGGAGCCAAGGTAGGCCCTGAATATTATTTTTGTGAGGTTCGGTGCGGCTGAAGCACGCTGTTAGGAATGAGCCTTTGTTGTTCTATACAACATGATGTGCCTGGTGAGTGTAGGTCGTGTGTTATGGAGCGAGGTGTGTGTGACGTGTGTGGCCAAGTCGACCCGAGTCCGGTTCAGATATTCGCCACTGATATCAGCCGTGAGCGGAAATCGGACTCGGGACACCGGGTTCGTAGTGCAATGCAATAACCATTTTGACTTAAAGCTTTCGTGACTGCAGGAATTCATATTTTGTGGGTCTTTCGGTAAAGCCACGGAGATAGAAAAAATTATAAAAAAAATATCACATTTCGATCGCAACACAAGCAATCATCAAGTGAAAAAAACATAGCGAGAGAGCTGCTGAGCGAAACGTCGTGATATTTTTATTTTTTATTTTTTCTATCTCGTGGCTTTATTACTATGCTTGTTTACCAGATGATTAAAGTCTCACCGAGTCTCTAGACTATTTTTTTCAGGAGGGTCCTGGCAAAGTTTTCTCAGTAGGGGGGGGGCGATATTGTTCCGTGTGTGATCCCAATTGAATAACCTGCAGGTCATTTCTCAGCAATGGGTTTTTTTTTTTGCAAACACCGACGGTGTGTGTCTGTCTTCAGGCTGCTGTGGCAAATGTTGTTACACACCACGAAGTCGAGGTGATGTCACCACGGTGCTTTGTGCCAGGCTAGGTGCACCTTAAGGCCATCACGTCAAATGCCAAAGGGGCCGTCCATAAATGACGTCACGCGATTTTGGACGATTTTTGACCCCACCCCCCTCGTCACACGGCGTCACAACAAGTCAGACCCCCCCCCTGAATATGACGTCACAAAGCTCTGCCTCCCCTCCCAAAAAAATTAAAAGATGCTTCAAATCGCTTTAAACTATTGTCATTGTAGTGCCTATTTAATGTGGCGCTGCACTCTGATGTTGTAGGAGAAAACATTTATTAAAAAGTCTACTTAATCAAGTCGAACGTATTTATTTAAAGTTGCGCATTTTGATGTGACGTCACATTTCTAACCCCCCCCCCCCCCTCTTGTCACACATCGTCACAAATGTCTGACCCCCCCCCCGCCTAGGTGCGTGACGTCATTTATGGACGGCCCCAAAGGCTCGTTGACAGGAGGTCACGGGTTGAGTGAGGTGATTAGCAGATGGAAACCCGTGTAAATAAACACAAATATCCTCCGTATTGCCTTAACATACTGTTGGGGCAAGTGCTGTTAGCGAGCACTTATGAAGCCCGACCCCCTTTGTCCCCTAGTGGCGATGCTTTTTACACAGCGCTCCAGGTACTCATTTGAGGCCGAGTCGACCTAGGGGAGGCCCATGTCCAGTTAAAATAATCGCCACTGGTGTTGGCTGTGAGCGGAAATAGAACCAGGGTCGTCGTATTCGTAGCGCAGCGCGCTAACCGCAACACTACCGCTTCCTACACACAACGCGCACTCACCACGCAAATAAATCGACACACACACACAGACCCGCAGAGCTCAGCTGCCTCGTGTATCCGTTTCTTTGTACACGTGTTTATTGAGATGATGCCGATGATCTCGCACACCTAGCGCACGTGGCCACAACACAGGTGATGCACACCAGCACTCACCCCACACACAAAAATATAGATTTGTAATTATACCACTAATACAGTATTACTATGACTTTTTATTAATGTAGTAATGTTACTCATTCGTATTATTACCAATTTGTCATTCCGCTAGGATGCGGGAGGGTTGGGAAACCTGAGATGATTAATGATGGGGACAAGAAATGACGCTGACCTTTACCAGATTGAGCTAACTTTATCATGTGAAGTCAACCCTGCCACGTGGTGTCAAGCCTGCCACGTGGGTGTATAACGCTGCCACGTGGTGTCAACCCTGCCACGTGGGTTTATAATGCTGTCACGTTGGGTTAAGTCTGCCACGTGGGTTTATAACGCTACCACGTGGGTGTATAACCCTGCCACGTGGGTGTATAACGCTGCCACGTGGTGTCAACCCTGCCACGTGGGTTTATAACGCTGCCACGTTGGGTTAACTCTGCCACGTGGGTTTATAACGCTACCACGTGGTGTCAACCCTGCCACGTGGTGTCAACCCTGCCACGTGGGTTTATAACCCTGCCACGTGGGTTTATAACCCTGCTACGTTGGGTTAACTCTGCCACGTTGGGTTAACTCTGCCACGTGGTGTCAGGACTGCCACGTGGGGGATAACACAAGGTGTATGTGCACTGCACGCGTATCTATGTAAGTCTAGTACATTCGAGTCGTGGTGCCACACGACCGGGGCTCGCACGGCGTGTGGTCACGGGTATACATCTTGTGTCGGTATGCGAGTTACACACATGAACCACACGGGACAGTTTACAGCAGTACATAGTGTGTGTGTGGGACGGGGGAGGGGAGGTCAAAAAGTTTCGAGAAAGAGCCGTAAAAATTGTCCACCAACTCGAGGTCGCGGCGACTACATTCACTCAAAGGGCTTCACCGTTAAGTGCTGGGCAAGGAATAAGTGCTTTAGAGTTAAGGGGATAATTAAACAAAATACGAAATCATTAATAGTATGCACGCCCAGAAAACACGCCAACGTTGGTGCAACGTCCCCCATGTTCACTGGGAGTCTTGACGAACTTGACTTCACGGACTTTCACTGGCTGCAACCTTGCTACAATTCACACGCCTGTTTAGCATGGTCAAACAACCAAAGTCATAGACCCCCCCCCCGTATAGCATTTCACAAACTTTTGGGGCAAGTGCTGATAAGCGAAAACCTATGACGGCCGGCACGGCACACGACGGGGTGGGTGGCTAACACCACGCCCGGTCGCCGTTCTCTACCCAGTGCTGATGATCTTTAACACCGCACTAAATACTCATTTAGGGTAAGATTCGACCTAGGGGGGAAGACCCAGGACCTGCTCAAATATTCGTCACTGATGTTGGTCGTAAGCGGGAATCGAAACTCGAGTCGCCAAATTCTAAGCGCAGTGTGTAAAGCACTGCGCCACCGCTCCCACAAATTGTGAAATATTGTCAAATAACCATTACCCCCCCCCCCCAACAACCCACAATGGGTGGGGAGGCCCTCATCCAGCAGTGGATTTGACAAGGGCGGGGGGATGTGTGGGGGGATGTCAGGGGTTCGCTTGGTTGCGACGTGGCACTGAGGGTGCGAGTCGTGAAGTCGTGACACCGTGTGAGAGCGGTGCTGCTGCTGCTGCCGAATTGTGGTTGCGAGTGGTTGACCCAAGTTTCCATTCACTCTCGGCGGAGGTGCACAGAGGGACGAGAGTGGAGTGTGTGCGTAAGTCAAGGTGTTGCTGTTTTAAGTGCAGAGCGAGCGATGGATTTCACAGATTCCAATGCATAACATGCACGCGCCAACGCCCAGTAAACGTGGCACGTTGGGCCAACCAGCGACAGGCCAACGATTTCAACTAAACGCCAACATCATGTTTAATGGGAACACCATACTTTACATACACACACACTTTATATACACATCATACACCATTTAATCTCATATACACACTCCACATCATATACACCGCATATATATACACACCTCACTCCATTCTTCACCTTGCAGCACACGCACCCCTTGCATCCCCCTACAATAACACATCGCACATACACACCACGTTTACACAAAATACCACGTACACCACACATGCCACGTACAGACACAACGCACAAACCGTACAGACATACCATACGACATCTGCACAACAGATGACACATACATCACTCTCCCACACATCATACTCAACATTCCTGGTATAGCCACAGATTGTGGGGGGTCAAGTGCTGTTGGTGAGCACCTGTTAAAGCTTGCGTCGTGCAAGATTGGGTTGGTGTGGTGAGCAACACGCCCGGCCACCTTTGTCTCCCCAGTGCTGACGTTTACACACCATACTAAGTACTCATTTCAGACTGAGTTGACCTAGGGGAAGCCCAGGGCCGGTTTAGATATCACCCACCACTGATGTTAGCCATGGCCGGGTTTGAAACTCAGGCTGCCAGGTTCGCAGTGTAGTGCGCTAACCACTGCGCCGCCGCTCCACACACATCATGCAAATCGCACGTACACACACCATACATATATACATATTACACCACATTCAATCACACATTTCATATCAACGTCATACACACGCAAACACAACAAGAGCTATAACTGCAGCTCGTCATTAGCAAGGGGGGGGGGGGGGTTTATCCCAAGCCCAGCTGCAAGCAATGATAAAATTCTCGCTCGCCGTTTTCATCGACTGACCACGACTATGACTATGCTGCTGGTGAGTTTGAATGGGGTCCGAGGTGGAATGCACACCACTCAAGTGGAAGAATGGCTGGCACATCTTAAAGATGGCAAACCAATGGTCAGTGGGCAGATCAGCTCCATGGTAGGTCCTGGTATCAAGGACATCGGCCCACATTTGCTGTTCCATCACTATGTAGTCCAGCAGATGTTCTTGCTTGGATCCGGCATGCATCCATTTTGTTGTGTGGATGCGCCGATGTCAGAACAGCGTGTTGGTGATTATAAGGCCATTGGCTGCATAGAAGTCTGGCCCATCCATGCCTTCCAATCACTTCGGTCCAGGTGTCTGTGTCATGGCCCCCCTTGGACGTTAAATTCACCCAGCAGGATGACTCTACCCCGAGGGGCCTCATCAACCGCCACCAGGGCTGGGTGACAGAAGACATCTGACTCAAGACACAAATCACACATCACACCACGCATCATACTCACACACATCACACTCGAACACAACATACATCACACACATTACACGCATCACACACACACACATCTCGCACATCACGTGCACATCACACACTGGTCTGGATATTGGTTCCAGGAATTGAGGTCGCGGAATTTACAGTTCTCGCCGTCATTAAAATATTACACCCTGAACGAAAAAAACATCTCACAGACACGAACACGTCCTGATAGAATATGCACGTGTTGGGGCTAGTGTCACAGTTAACACGAAAGCTGGGCTCAAGAGCAGGGCTAGGCTGATAGCTTGGGCTGGTTCTGGGCAAACCAGCCCATAATGAAAGGGGTTGATGTCTTCAAATTGACCGATGTCATACACAATCCTGTTCGTTAAATGTCAGACACCGTTTCAATTGCTTCTCCTGTACATTGCCAACGCGTTCCCCTCCTCACCACCGCCATCGTCATCACTCCCAACGCCCATTGCGCATGCCGACCGACACACGGTCGTGACAACGGGGGGGACGTTTAGTTCTCAAAATTCACAAAAAAACCCGAGACAGCAGATCGACCAATTCCACCACTACCACCCACTGACACCGAGAGAGGCACAGGGGACACGGCGAGACTCGGCACAGCGCTGGAACAAAACCCAAAAAAACATCTGAGAAACATCATGCACTCTGAGAAGAAGACACGGCGGCCGGCACAGGGGCTCAATGCGCCGAGTTAGTCGTTTCGGAACTGGACTCCGGCTCATCGGAATGCTGGCGCCCGGTTCCGTTCCGTTCCGTTTCGCGAGTGCGTGCGCATCTTTGGGTTTCATCCGCCCTTGGCTCAAGATTGCTTGTCGGCGTCCATAAACCCACGAGCTGTTTGTTGCGTGTTTTTTTTGTGTGTTGTTGTTTGAAGAGCACGAGTTTTTTTTTCGAGTCGCTTCATATTTTTGTTCCAGTGCCAAGTATGCGCGAGCCGTGTGTTCCCACGAAAGGCAACAATGCGGTTGAAGATGAGGCCGAGGGGCCAACCGGCTGGCACGGGGTGGCACGAGAGGTCTGTGGAATCCGGCCCGAGCACCGACTGGTTAAACGAAGACAACACGGCTTGGAAACAAACACAGCTCTCATCTTGTAGGTACTGTGTGTCCGCCCCGGGGCTGTACCGCACGTGTTTGAAGCTTCGTTCGGGAGGAAAAATATACTTTAAATTTACAGTCAGGAGCGCCAAAACGACAGTGGCATGTTGACACTGATTTAGTGTGCTGATCTTAAAGGTGCATTGAAAAATTACAATACTCCGATTGATGCTCCTGCTGTTGTGGAGTGACTCATGCAGCCAGCTATGGCTGCAGGGTTTTGGTAGTACATGTTGTTTATGCCATTTATTGTGAAAATTCCGTCAGTTCCTATGATTGCTTTTTCATTGCCTTCATGGCTTTATTTTGGTGATTTCGAAAAGTGTATTGGTTTAGCCATGTTTGTGTTGTTGTAGTACAGAGTTAGACTGATGGCCTTAATCTAAGTTGTCTTGTGGTTGTTGTTGTTGTTTGACTTGCATCCCACTGGGATTTTTGCACACAGCGTTGGTGTACGGTGTTTTTTCTGCAATATTTTTGCTGTCTTTTCTTGGATTTTCTGTTTGCACTTAGTCACATATTCACTTTAAGATGTTTTTTTGTTCATGTTTTTGTTTTTTGTTTGTTGCGGTTGCACCCGATTCAAGAGCTGAATGGCTCACAGGGCTATACCTAATAAATGAACTTGAACTTGAAGTACATGTACAGCCCTTGTGAATCCACTGCTGGATAGGGGCCTCTCCATGCCGTGCGGGTCCTGTGGGTTATTTGACCAAAGTTCACCGTGCTGGTCAGTGCGGGTGAGTGCAGGCGCGGGGGAGCATAATGACAGAGGAGTCAAGTACAACAATGGATTTTTCTACACACTGCTGCCCTCTGATGCCCGTCACCAAGTGACCAGCACTGAGGGACAACTCCAACACTTTGTCGTAAAATTTCACAAGTGACATCGTGAAAGCACTCCTGTGGGCAATCTAAACATCTTCTGATTCACAGAGCCCGGAACGCAAAGCCCAAGCACGTACAGTTCTGATAGGAGTTGTTTACCGTTTGTGTTCGGTTCACACAGTCATCGAGAGAGAGAGAGATCGCGAGCGAGCGATAATACGTCACATTCAAAGGGTTTTTCAGAGTTCAGCAGAAATGCCCCAAGTCTCAAGGTCACGCTGAGGTCAGGCCGAGGTCACCACGGATCTTATTCCCCCTAGACACTCCGGAAATATCACAATCGGTGCCCAACAGACATAGCTCGAATGTTCCAAGCTAATAATAATTATAGCGATCGACAGATATTGCTGCATGGAGAACTTCAGAGTCTTAACGTCTTGCCGCGCGGCACTCTTTGTAGGAAGTTCAAAATATGCTTAATGTTCAGCTGTTTGTCGATCCACTGCTCACGTGGTATCAGCCACTGGGGGTTGCTTGGACATATCTCACCATGCTGTTAGGGTGGGATGGGAAAAAGGTGGGAACCCAAGGACCTGTTCAGATATCGCTAGCCGTGGGCAGGAATCGAACTCCGGTAGCCAGATAACCACACTGCCGACCGGGATGAAGAAGAGGCATAACGAATGGACTTCAAAAGCCGTAATGAAACTTCGTGTTATGGGGATATTATTATTATTTGACAGCGTGGTGCACCGCTCTCTACGTAAGTACAGAATGAAAATTCCTGCATCTCACCTCAGGATGCTGAAAGCAACATTTGAACACAAATGTTGAAAAAAAAGACTGTACTTTGAGAGTCCTGCTGCTAAATTTTGAAATATTTCTTTGCCGAGTACCAATACAAATTTACGCAACACAATCTGAAACATTACAAGCGGACTGTTACCCCCATTCTACAAAAACTTAACAGGTTTACCGGTTTTATTATTATTTTCATCTGACACAGATTGTGGTGGCTTGTTAGTGCTGTCACCCACAAGTCTTAAAGTTGTAAATTAAATGACTTGTCAGTTGTAAAACTCGGCCCATCATCTCTGGGGGATGGTAAATTGAGTACCACTTTATTGTAGGTCAACAATGGTTCTCTACGGGGCGACTGGTTCCCTCTATAGGAATGTGGATTTTTTTTTCACCACCGATTTTAAGACTATCAATGGACTTGGGCAACTAAAAAATAATGATTGCTCATCCATCCATTCCACATTCTTCACTTAAAACTATGCGAGAGTTCGCTACGACCAAAAGCCTCTTTTTTAAAGGACAGATAGGCGCAGCCCTTCAATGACTTGCTCATGCCACTGCAGGCAGAAGGGCCTCCACTCCAAGGGAGTTATTTGGTCCCAACTCTTGCATGCTGGCCAGACGTTTTGGAATATATGCGCGTACCAAAACCTCACCCCCACCACACGCAACCTGCCAATAGACCAACTGTGGTGAAAATTATTGATGCTGCTGGGTGGACAGAGGGAGTCGTGGGGCGGGATATAAGAAACTTGGCCCATTAATTTGACTGCCAAGCCAGGCAGACAGAACTCAACTGGGTGACCTCTGGATTGCGAGTGCAGTGTGCGAACTATCGCAATGCGGAATTTTCTAACATCCGAGCGCCGGCTACCATTTATACCGCACGGCGCTTGAGTGTGGTGGCCTCGCTGTGCTGCGGTGACACGGTTTGCGTGCGCAGCGCTCCATGGAAAGAGAAACTTCCACTCTCGTCGACCTCTCACCTTTATCTGTTTGTGCCTTTATAGGGACGCACTGTGACTTTGATTTTTTAGCGGCCTTACCCGTGATGACCTCTTGACCCCGACGCACATGAACGCATGTAAACAGACACGTACACACACAGACACGCACGCAGATCCACTCACACGCAAACACGCACACGCGTGTGTGTATTTGTGAGTGCCCTCGCACACACATCTCACGCACACACGTACGCATGCGTGCGTGGTTGGCTAACGAGGTGACTGGCCGCTGGCTGTGACCCTGAGCAAACACAGGAACCCCGCCTGGGGCGAAGTCCACGCGGGTGGCGTAGACGAGCGTTCCGACGCAATGTCCGGCTGAGGTATTCACTCTGTGTGTGCGAACGCGCAACAGGCGGGCACACAAGCACCCGCGTGCCGAACACAAGAACGCACGCCAACACACTATAACAGACTAACACGCGCGCACGCCGATGAACACACGCGCACGCACGCTATGGATGGGACACCCACAGCATGCTGCCACTCCTGCCAGACAGCGCGGCTGCCAGACTTCACTCATGAACCGTTTTAGGCAACACGTGGGCACTTGTTGGCCAGCTGCCAATTACCATTGGAGGCAAGAGAATTTAGGACTGGCAATTGAGGTAGGGCTACGATCCAAAAAAATCCCATACCTGTCCTCTTGTCTGGGAAAAGGCAGTTACCGTTCGGGTTTAGAGTCAGCGACGTGAGCGGCAAAAAATATCGGTGAATTTCCGAGCGCCGGCGACAGCATCAACAGCTATTTCCCTCCGGCGAGATGACGGCGAACGTTCACGGCACGGCGAGCCACGTGGCGTGACGCAAACCACGAAACGACACGTTCCTCTCCGAGCCAAGGCCAGCATCGCAGTCGGGGGCGAGCCCTGACCCTTCACCCTCCCTCGGCACCTGCGGCCCCCAACCTGGCCGCTCGTGGCCCCTTGGATGTTGTGTCTCCCCCCCGCCCCCGCACCCTCCAGAGGCCTAAGGGACGAGAGTCCAGGTGGCGTGACGGACAGAGACCTTGATTCAGCGAGTCGCTCCCATCTTCTCGCGCACGGTTCCGGCGGCCGCAACCAGGGCGGGGGAAAAGGTTCTCGCTCGGCAGTAGAAAAAACCGACGGTGTGGAGATGGAACCACCGCCTGACATCATCGCTTCATAAATTTTAATAAAATTCACTCAGTCGCTCGTGTGATAAAAGAGTTTGTTGCCGACCGGGTCAGCGTTGCAGGACAGGTTGGGTTATGGGAGGCCAGTGTCCAGGACGTCGCCAACCCAGAGGAAAAATCAGTAACCCCTGCCACACCGCACCACACCCAGTGGAACTCTCCATATGCATGTGGCTACGAGTCACGTGCCAGCTACTCCATTCATTCTACCAGAAACACTGGAAAATATTCAATTGAGAAATGATGTCCTGGGCGGTATCCGCTCACACGCGGTGGCGTCGCACGTCACAGCGCGGTTTTGTCGCCGCGTTCCGGAGTGATCCCACCGATGGATCCACGCATGGCGGCGCTCACTGCAAGACGCTTTGCCCGATACGAAGAAGGTTTGCCCCATCATCCGTGTGCCGCCCTTCAGGCCTTGCGAGGCAGCGGGCGCAATGCGCAGACGTGGGCACGTGCCCCACACACGCATAGGCCATATATATACACACACACAAGTGTACAAATCGCTTTGTACTTATACAAACAACAAGTGCTATCGGGCCTGGGTTCATCATTATTCACATGCCTGCATATCCAGCTCTTTAAAGAAGAAATCCGAAGGTAGTCCTCCTCCTTGCAGCGTCCACCATCCGATGCGCTCCACCTGGTCCCCTCTTCCCTTAGGGGGTCCAACCCTTTTCCACCCCAATCTCAGTTGTCATCACCGCCGTCACACACGTGCTTCAGCGCCACTTCTGTACAGCACCGTCAGACACTTTACATCCTCATGTGAGGGTAGCTGAGTGGAGAGCCAGACCCGGTTGCATTCGGCGTCACTTGGTAGGGTAGACAAGGGGCCAGTAGCCTTCGAAGAAAACCAGGGGTGAGGGGTGGTGGGGGTCGTGCGTCAGGGACTGGGAGGGCAGCACCCTTTGGGAGGCAAGGCACCCTTTGGGGGGCAAGGCACCCTTTGGGAGACAAGGCACCCTTTGGGGGGCGGGGGCCCGTGGAGGGGTGGGGTGTAGCACCCGCGGGAGGGGAGGGCAGAACCTGCAGAGGGGGGCGCGTCAGTCAGCTGACGGAGCGCACGGAGCGGCTGGAGCGTGGGAAGCGGTGCACCTTGACGTGCTTGGACAGGTGGTCGCTGCGCGCAAACTTCTTTCCGCACACGGGGCAGGCGTAGGGCTTCACGCCCGAGTGCGAGCGGCGGTGGCGCGACAGCTCGTCCGAGCGTGAGAACCTGGGTGCGCGGACAGACGCATGCGCACGCAGGCACGCACATGCAGACGCGCGCACATTTAAGCGCATACACAGACGAGTGCACGCAGACGGGCGTGCATACTTGCGACTGTCTCGCTGCACTGACTTAAAACCTGCGCCTATTGCCACATCACCATAAATCTGCCCGATCTCGTCAGATATCAGATCTCAGAAGCTAAACAGCATTGAGGCGGGATATTGTTCGAGTGGGCGACTACTGTGCACACGTCTCTCTCGGCTGCCGCAGGGCCTACGTCGTCAGCAGCAGACGGCGATGCGGCCAAATCTGCCGTCTCCTCTACTCCTCACTTTCACCAACCCTCACGGACTGACCATGACAATGGATACAGGACATGATTGATGGATAGTGGATGTTTATACAGAATGTATGTGGGATGAGGCATGGGTTAACAGACCCTACAGGATACCTGCGCACACAGGATACAAGTTATTCAGGTCGAGCGGCTGATGCGACGTAAAATATTATTTTACCGCAGGATTTGCCTATTGTCCACAGATTTGCACAGTTTACGGTTTAAAGGTGGGCGATGACCATATCACCCGGAATGCGTCAAATTTCGGAAGCTATGCAAAATTGAGCTCGGTTAGTCCTTGCATGGACGACCAACATGCAGGCACAGGCGTCATCAGTGATGCACGGCCCGCACCGAGTGCAACAGGCCCGGTTGTTGTACTAAAGAAACCGGGATTCTCTGGTCTCGTGAGTTGATGGTCTCAGCATGGTCACCAGTGACTCACACGAAGGCCTATAGACTCACAGAGTCTCAGACTGACACAGAGGCCCATAGACTAAGACAGTCTCATAGATTCACACAGAGACCTATAGAATCACACAGTCCCATAGACTCACAAAGCCCGAGTTGTGATGAAACCGTGTTCTCTGGTGTAATAAGTTGATGGTTTCAGCATTGTTACCAATCACGTGAATAGAAGCAGCATATTCAAATTGTGGGTTTTCAAATAATTATTGCCCCACGCTGATAAAACCCTTCAGAGCCAATGAAAGCCATGGCCTTTCCTCATACACACACAGGGGCAGCTGCAAGAGTAGAAGAGTAGAATGCATGATAGACAAAAGCAAGATCATATCGTTAACCCCGTTAAGCAAATAACTTTTGTTTAAAGTCTGTTAAACATTGTGTCGTGCTCCCCCAGAATTATCCCCCCCCTCACTGTAAAAAAATTCACCCTACAGGGATGTAGTTGGAAAATGTTTTTTGGAGTCGAGATATGTTTGGGTATGGCTATGGGTATTGTATGGCTCTTGTTCTAATTATACTGGGCCACCCAGGAAAGGCTGGCTTACCCGAGTCTCAAGACTCTTTTTCAGGAGGGTCCGACTAAGTTTTCGCAGTAAGAGGGGGAGCGATGTTGCTGCTACCGTGTGTCATCCCAATTGAGTAATTTGCAAGTAACATTTCATCGTTGCCCAATACCAGTTACGATTTGTGGGTTTTTTTCTAGCTAAAGCAGGAAACTGGAGGAAACCCACACAGAACAGGGGGAGAGAACATACAAACTCCACGCAGACAGGCACCCGAGTCTCGAATCGAACTCAGGCCTTACTTGTTATGAGACACAAGTCCTATCACTGCGCCTTCCCGCCTTCCGGTTATAATTTATGATTATGCTTAGGTTATTATTTGCATTGGGGTTGGGGCTATGCTTTTGCTGTGGGAGCCGTCACGTGGCCTTTGGCAGCCACGTGTAGGCGACGGAAACCGCCGCGTTACGGGCGGGTGGGCGGCACGGGGCAGGAGAGGGGGGAGACACGGCGTGGGGTGAAGGCGTGGGGCCGAGGGCGGAGCGGAAGGAAGAGAGGGTAGGGGAGTGGAAAGTGAGAGAGGAGAGAGATTGTTGTGGTGTCACGTGTACCGCCATCTGCGCGGAACGCGCGTCGCCATGCCTCGGGGCCGCGAGAAAGGGAGAAGCGGAGATGACACGAAAATGGGCGAGCTGGGGGTGAGGGGACGGGAGAGGTGGGACTGTAGGGATGAGAGAGCTGTTGATGAGGGGATGGGAGAGCTGGGGTTGAAAGGATGGAAGGAGCTGGGGTTGAGGGGATGGGAGAGGTGGGGATGAAGAGATGAGAGAGCTGTTGATGAGAGGATGGGAGAGCTGGGGTTGAAGGGATGGAAGGAGCTGGGGTTGAGGGGATGGGACAGCTGGGCCCGGTTACATAGAACACACCCAAGTAAAAATGTTTCTTAGTTAACGTCGCTGTGCTTTGGAATGGAAGCGAAGGGGGAAGTTTCACTGGAGTGATTTCGTTCAACTGACCATAGGAACTAAAAACACCACCAAGTGATTTGGGGTATAGGATATCTGGGGAGGCAGGAAATGTGCTAAGATTTGAGGGACACTGGGCAGGCAAAGGTCACTACAAAATAGAATCCACCTGGTAAAAAACTGAGTTTGACATTTTCAGACACACTGTTTGAAGAGTGACTTTGCACTGTACTGGAATATCCATGCACAGGTTACCGATATAAAACTGGAGGATCAGCAAGTGAAGAACTGGCATTGATAAATCCAAGGGTTAGGGGATCGGAGAACCCAGGATCCAGATACACGGGAAGGGAGGAGGGAACCAGAGATGACAGACGTGGGGGACACATAGCAGATAAGACCGATGGAATTTAAAACCCAGGAGTGAGATCATTTGGGAGTAATTCAGATCATGGAACAGAGAGAGCTCGGATCAAGGAGTTGAGAAACCAGGACTGACACTCAAGAGATGTGAAAGCCAGAGATAAAAAAAACACGGGGGATTGGAGACCTGAAAGATGAGAAACTGAGGAAAGAGAGGCAGAAGATAAAACGACATGAAGAGGGAAACCCCGATGCGAGACCCAGGAAGATGATAGGGGTGTGAGACCAGACTTTCCTTAAAAAACCCAAGCAAAGAGTGGAATGGACATGCAGAGACATCGGACCAAATAACAAGTGGCTGAGAGATCCACAAAAATATGTCCCATAAAGCCCAGAACTCATTCCCGCAGATCACCCAATCCCTCACCTCCATCCGCATCCTGGCCAGGTGCAGGCAAAGGGCTTCTCTCCCGTGTGGCGCCGCAGGTGCGCCTTTAGGTGGCTGCTCTTGGTGTACATCTTGTTGCATCCCGGATGCTCACACTTGTGCATCTTCAGCACTTCGTGGGCCGCCGCCACTGCAACCGCCGCCCCGTGTGGGCCTCCTCGCACCGTCAGCCGCTGGCCCGTCACCGGCACGCCGCTCACCATGAGGCCACCGGGCCCCTGCAGCGCCGCGCCGGGCTTGGCCGCGATAGGCACGGGAGCGATGCGCACGTAGGGCCGGCACGACGACGCGGGGCCTTGCGGCACCAGCGCGAATGTCTGGCCCTGGATGTTGATGAGCAACTGAGCGAGCTTCACGCCGCCCGCCGGGATCGGCGGAGGCGACTGCCCAGCTGCCTCGGCCGACTGTTCCGCCGCTGGCGTTGCCACGGGCTGCACAACGAGTGGTAACGTGGACGTCGGACGGATCGTGCTCGCGCCGCCAGGGCTGCCGGAGCAGTTGATGCCGCCGATGCTGCTCGTGCCTCCTCCACTACCGCCACCACCGCCGCCACCGCCGCCGTTACAGCTGCTGCTACCGCCGTGCTTGTTGGTCTCTGTCGTGGCCTCAACCTTGACTGTGGCCGAGCTGTCCGTGCCGTTCTTGAGCACCTGCATGTGCTCCTGCAGGAACTCCTCGATCTCTTCCAGCGTGGGTCTGAAGTCACCCACGAGGTCCGGGAGCTCAAGGGTGCACACCTGCTGCTGCTGGTGGTGGTGCCCCGTGCCACCCCGTGCCTCATGTTGCAGCTGCAGCTGAGGTGTCCCACCGCTGCATTGTGGGCTGTCGCCGCCGCTGCTGCTGCTGCCACTGCATGTGGAGCGCGGGCTGCTGCTGCTGTTGCTGCTCGTGTCGCTGTCGCCCTCCGAGCCCAGGCCTTGTTCGCTCGCTCCGCGCACCTCGTCCGACTGCATGTGTGGGGCCTCAGCCGGGATCACCTCCACCATCCCGGGGACCCTGGGACCACGGGGACTCGCCGCAGGCCCAGGTCCCGGGACTTGGGGTCCTCTTCTCTCTCTCCCCTCCTCTCTCCGGTATTCTCCCCACTTCTCCCACCGTGGATCTTGCTCCCTTAACTTCTCTCCCTCTTTCACGTGGTGGCGCCAAGGAATCTCTCTTCTCTCTCCTCTCACCCCGACCACTGATCTCGTGCTCTCATCTCCTCCCCAGCCCGTCACCTCAACTCCCCTCCTCGTGCCAAACGGTCCTTGGGCACCCCCCCCCCCCACCTCTTCTTATCCTGCCTGTACCTCCACTCACATCGGCCCTGTCTGTGGGCCACCCCCTCTGGCTACTCCTCCTCTCTTCTTTCACTCAAGGAGTTGAGCCTCACAAATTCTCTCCTCTGACCGGTCTCCACGTGCCGCCCGCGTGTCCGTATCCTCGCCGGGAGGGGAGGAGGGGGAGCGCGGAGCTGGGGTGGGGGGCCCACGCTCCCCGGCCCTAGAGGGTTGGGGGGGTGAGAGGCGAGGTTGTAGTCACGGTGTAGTCACGGTGTAGTCACGGTGTGTGGTGGGCACCCTGTGGCTCCAGAGCCGAATGCAGCTCACTCAGGACTCTTTCTAGATTTGAAGCTTTCGTGACTGCAAGTATTTATATTCTTAGGTTTTTACGGTAAAGTCACGTAGGTAAAAAATTAAAATTAATAAAAGTTAAAAGAATAAAAATAAAATCACGACGTTTCGGAGGCAAAGCAAGCTTCCGTCTTCAGGTGGAACCATCAAGTAATACAGCAAGCGTGCTGTGACGGTTCCACCTGAAGACGGAAGCTTGTGTTGCCTCCGAAACGTCGTGATTTTTATTTTATTTTTATTATTTTTACTTTTATTAATTTTATTTTTTACCTACGTGACTTTACCGAAAAAAACCTAAGAATATGAATAAGGACTCTTTCGTGATGTCATTTATTAAGGACCACCGGTCTCATATTCAAACATTCAGGGGTCTTTTTTTTCACACCGGATTAACAAAAAATGGCTCATATTGTTATTTTGGTTGCGGATCCCTGGCGTGGTATTTGCGCACTGTGTGCGCACTATTTGTATGTGTACTGCTGACTCTTTAGTGCTGTTTGTGTGCTGTATATACTGTTTAGTGAATCGATTCATTATCTGGTGATGCCGGTGCTGCATTGGCAGTGGTGTACCAGCACAAACAACAACAACAAACTCAACACACTCCGTGTCAATAACAATGTGTGTGAACCTAAATTAACTAAGTGCACAATAGCCGACGTTTCGGGTAATGGCCCTTCGTCACGGCACATTGAGAAGCCAGAGAAGGAGGTAGTGTTTACTGTGTACAGCTGTCTGGGTATTGTATCTGTAGTTACCTTCTGCACTTTGAGTACTGCGTATACTGACTGTGGACTGTTAATTGTGTACTGTATATAATGTACGAATGCTGTACGAGTACTGCATGTGTTATTAGCAGCATACATCAGTAACCACACACGCGTTTGTTTCTTTAAGTCCAGGTTCATATCGATCAGCGGCAATTGCACAATCAAGCAACCTCTTGCGTGGACGCGTTTCGACATCCTGGGTCTCATCAGCATCGTCAGGATCGTTATGCTTGGAATGCTTGCTCCTGCTCCATATATTGATCACTCCGTGGCCTATCCACTGCTGGTTGAGTTAAAGTAACACCGATCCACGATGTAGCAATTACGTACCGATAATATTTGAGTGAGCTTGTAGCGATTAATAGTTGATAACCTGTTATTACGGTGTTGGACTCGTTAACGCCGAGCATTGTATTCAAACGATGTGCACACCACATGCAAATTACGTGTGAATATTCTCTGCGGTAACTGGAAAATAATCGATTGTTTACATCGACTTGCGGAGAGGCAAACGTCGGTGGTGAATCCAGTATGGAATATAGATTATAATTGCTTATCAGTAATTTATAATTAATCAGTATATGGTTATGATTGTGTTTGTTTGCATACATAGCTACATACAAATACTGTACAAACCACCCCCTGTATAGCCCAAACAGACTGTTAGGGCAAGGGGCCGTCCATAAATGACGTCACGCGATTTTGGACGATTTTTTTACCCCCCCCCCCCTTCGTCACACGGCGTTACAAAAAGTCAGAGACCCCCCCCCCTCAAATATGACGTCACAAAGCTCTGCCCCCCCCCCCTCCCAAAAAATAAAACATGCTTCAAATCGCTTTAAACTATTGCCATTGTAGTGCGTATTTAATGTGGCGCTGCACTCTGATGTTGTAGGAGAAAACATTTATTAAAAAGTCTATTTAATTAAGATGAACGTGTTGTCTATATTTATTTAAAGTTGCGAATTTTGATGTGACGTCACATTTCTCCCCCCCCCCCCCTCGTCACAAATGTCTGACCCCCCCCCCCCTACGTGCATGACGTCATTTATGGACGGCCCCCAAGTGCTCTTGGAGAGCAGCACCTATGAAGGCCGGCAACAGCACACAGGGAATGATAATGACAAAGATAAACACACAGAGGCTCACCACCACCACCACACACACATCGGTGCTGCTGTTAACTTGCTGACCGATTTGCGTTACAGACCGTTGAACCTGCGCCCAACAACTTCGATTGTAAACAAAATCACACACCCCCACAAGTTAACACTGCACACACACACACACTATCCTACACACACACACACGACACACACACATACACAATCACACTACACACACACACACACTCATACACACGACACACGCACACAATCATACACACGACACACACATACACAATCACACTGCACACACACACACAAGTTAAACTGCACACACACACAATCACACTGCACACACACACACACTATCCTACACACACAATCACACTGCACACACACAAGTTAACACTGCACACACACACATACAATCACACTGCACACACACACACCCAAGTTTACACTACACACACACACTATCATACACACGACACATACACACACAAGTTAACACTGCACACACACGCACACAATCATACACACGACACACACACAATCACAAGTTAACACTGCACACACACAACACACACATACACAATCACACGACACACACACACAATCACACTGCACACACACACACAAGTTAAACTGCACATACACACACACTATCATACACACGACACACAATCACACTGCACAAAGACACACACAGCCATTCTCAAACAGACATACTGCACACACATGCACAATTACACACACTCATGTCTAACACAATCATAATACGACACACTCTCACTCACACATATATACAATCACACTGCAACGCATACACCTCGTGCATAGACATCCCCATAAACACGCTCACACAAACTCTCATTACACAGCGTATAATGTCTCATACATACTGCACATACATACACAATGACACGGCACGCACACACATACTTCTCACTCACATTCTCATACACAATGGCACACACTGTGACCTACTCACACACCCATTCACACGTACCAACACGTGCACACAGTGCTGTACACGTGCACACAGTGCTGTACACGTGCACACAGTGCTGTACACGTGCACACAGTGCTGTACACGTGCACATCGTGCTGTACACGTGCACACCGTGCTGTACACGTGCACACCGCGCTGTATACGTGCACACCATGCTGTACACGTCCTGTACACATGCACACCGTGCTGTAGACGTGCTGTACACGTGCACATCGTGCTGTACACGTGCACACACGTGCAAACAACACATAGACCCCTCCCCCCCCGTATCGCCTTTATAAGACGTGTTGGGACAAGTGCTGCTAACGAGTAGCACCTATGGCACCAGCACGCGAGGTTGGGTGGTGTGGCCACGACCACGTTCGCCCGGCCGTCTTTGTCTCCCCAGCGGGCATACGTTTACACTACGCACCCGGTATTCATTTAAGGCCGTGTGGACCTAGGGGTGGGGGTTCCCAGGAGCGGTTCACATTTTCGCCACTGATGTTGCCCGCGTGGTGGGTTGGGGGGGACGCGGCACACGAAGTGTCTCGTGTGTGTGTCTACGTGTGTGTTTCTACGTGTGTGTCTCGTGTGTCTACGTGTGTGTGTGTCTACGTGTGTGTGTCTACGTGTGTGTCTCGTGTGTCTACGTGTGTGTGTCTCGTGTGTGTGTCTACGTGTGTGTACGTGTGTGTCTACGTGTGTGTGTCTCGTGTGTGTGTCTCGTGTGTGTGTACGTGGACGAACGAATGCGCACGTACACCGCAACTCTTCCGTTTCACACTCCCATAACTTGGAAAACTCACTCGGGGAAATCTTTTTATAAAGGTGACCATCGTCACTGGCAAAAGGCGAGATGGTTGGGGTGGAGATGGTTGGGGTGTAGGGGCAGGGCAGGGGGGGGTCCCCCCCTCCTCCCCCCTCTCCCTGCCGCCTCCCCTGCACCGGGCCCCGCCGTGCCCGCCCCGGGCCCCGCGTCTCTCTCCACGCCACGTGGAGCCCGCGGAAGGGGGTCCCACGCGGGGGGCGCTCGGTCGAGTGAAATGAGTTAAGAAATGGATTGGTGGTGGGTGGATTGATGGAATTCTGGATGAACTGTGTATGTTTAACTTATTTCGCACCGTACGTAGCCAAAAAGGTCCGGTGGAATGATAAAAAAAATAACTAAACGCAAAACGCATGGGTGGGTGGATGCATGGATTCGCTTAGTAAATGATGGATGTATAGTGAGATTGGTTGGTGGATGAAATGAGCGAACAATGGATCGGTGGATCATAAGCTTAGGTTTTTTTTCGGTAAAGTCACGTAGGTAAGAAATTAAATAATATCATAATAAAATAATTAATCACTGATCGGTGGATCAATTGATTGCCGAGTGGATGGAAATAATTCTGGAGTTATGGATGGATTAAATGAGTGAAGTTATGTATGGATGGGTGGATGGATGTGAAGGATTGATGTTATTAGATGGGCGGGTTTAGAAGGGGCGTTAATTAAGCGTAAGTTGAGTGGATCGATATCTGGGAAATAAGGGGTGACGGAAGGCGGATCCACGATTTGGTAGGAACTTAAATTAACATTTAAAAGTACTGTAGCTGGGATGACTGGTTGGAATGAGAGCAGCATGGACGGTGGACCGATGGATGATGAGATGAAGAGGTGTATGGGAGAGCTGTGAAGGATTGATACAATGGGGGGGGAGGGAGATGGAGTGCATGAGTGTCGAGCGACAGCCGTGAAACTCTGTCTCTTGCAGTCCCCTTACAGACAGGGCACCCTCCCCGCCTCTCGCCACCTTCCCGAGCCCCGTGTCCCCTCGCACGCAAACACGGACGAGAGACAACGTCGCGGACGAAGAGCGACCCCTTACATTTAGAGCCCCCCCCCCCCACAGCTTCCACTCCCAAGGCCCCCCCCCCCTTCCTGCAAAGGGGGGCACGAGCAAAAAGCCAGCACTCTTACCATCAACATAATCAACAACAACATCAACAACAACATTAACAGCACTTACTCGTTGTGCAGCCCCCGGCGATTGGCCCCACGTTTTGCTACTCTCTCCCGCGATGGGTCGCGTGCTGCTGCTGCAGTTGATGCTGTTGTTGATGCTGCTACTGCTGCTGGTGCTACTGCTGCTGATGCTACTGCTGCTGGTGTTGTTGTTGTGTCGTCAGAGAACTCCCCTCTCTATCGAGGTTGCTGCCGTTCAGATGTCGCTTCCATCCACCCGCGTTTCAGCCACTCCACATCATCACATGACGGCGGTAGGGGAGGGCGGCTTGTGCGCGGGGGATGTGTGTTGTGGGGGGATGTGGGAGTATGTGTGTGCGTGCGTATGTGAAAGGTGGGCGGTGGGGGGTGGTATGTGTGTGGGCGTATGTGATAGATGACTGTGTGTGTGTGTGCGTTTGATGCGTGAGGGGTATGTGCGTGTGTAACTGGTAAAGTGTGTGTGTATGTGGTGGGGGTATTGTACGCGTAATGGTTAGGTATGTGGGTAGGGGTAAGTGTGGATGTATGTGATGAGTGGGTAGTGTGGATGTGTGATAGCTTGGGTATGTGCTGGGTCGGTTGGTATGTGCTCCGTGGGTAAGAAGGGTGAGTTTTGTATGTGTGTAAATGCGAGATGTGGTGTGGAGAGAGACTGGGTATGTGTGTTCATATGCTGGTTTTGTGTTTGTGTAAACACGTGTTCGATGCAATGGCGTCACAAGAACGGAGGCTCGGCGGGTGACATCACATGACCAAGCCTGCCTCCACTCTCTGGCGTGAGAGAAGTGCGCGTGTGAATGAGATCGATGTGTGGCTATGTGTGATACAGTACATGACATTCGTGTTGTTTGCCGTGCCAGCCTTCATAGGTGCTCGCTAAAAGCGCTTTCCCCAACAGTCCGTGCCTATCCTGTATGGGGGAACTTTGTGAACGTGACAGTGCGTGTATATTTTTTTATTATCAAATGTACTGGGAAGACAAAGGCGGTCGGGCGTGGCGCTGGTCACACCAACCCCCGTGGTGGTAAATGCTCGTTAACAGCAACTTGCCGCAACAGCCTGTGGTGGACTACACGGGGGACCATTGTCTTTATCTCTGCGTTTCAATGTTTGTGTTGTTGTCTTTGGCACCGCAATGCAAAGCACGTCCACGTGTTACCCTCGCGCGTGTACCACGTGCAATGACGTCACGGGCAGGGAGGCTCGACGTTGACGTCACGAGCGCGGCCGGGCTCGCGTCGGGGGAAGGGAGGGGGGTTGGGTCGTATCGCCGCTCCTGATTGGCTCGGTGTGTGGGGGGCGGTGTGACGTCACCGCGGGTCGCCTCGCTCAGCCACTTGATGTCACCCCTCCCTCATTCCACCCCTTCGCTGAGGGATGGGACGTCACGGCTATCACGTGGCGCCTCGCGTGCAAGTGACCTTGGGTGCTGTGGAGGCGAGACCGGCTCCTACCGGCACACACTGGCACATTTAGAGATACACTGACACATTGAGAGATATACTGGCGTCACGGGGATATACTGACACATTGAGATACACTGACACATTGAGAAGTATACTGGCGTCACGGAGATATACTGACACATTGAGATATACACTGACACATTGAGAGATATACTGACACACTGAGAGATATACTGGCGTCACGGAGATAAACTGACACATTGAGATATACACTGACACATTTAGAGATACACTGACACATTGAGAGATACACTGACATTGAGAGATATACAGGCGTCACGGGAATATACTGACACACTGAGATATAATGCACTGGGGTATCAGCACAGATATATCAGTACCATTGGGATATACTGGAGAATTGTGGATGTACCGCTACAATGGTGACATACTTGCATAACAGATTCGTGAATTAGGAGACACATTGGCACAATGGGAAATGTATTTGTGTCATTACAGATATACCGACACCATGGCGATATCCTGGCACATTCGGATATATACTGTGTATATTGATAGCAACATTCTAATTATAGGCACATAACGGCATCAAGGACCACTGGCATCATCACAAATATGCTGGCATTCAGGGAGATGCACTGGCACCGTGATATACGATATTGTAATTTTACGTATAATTTACACGTTACTGTTTACACGTGTTGGTGTTTACAAGCGCAATAATAACCACGTGTTGTTTACGCTGCGCACGTGTCGTGTTGTTGTTTACACGTGGGGGGGCAGCAGTGGGATTCCCTTTGCCTGCCCGTTGCAGTCGGCGCTTCGTGTGTGAAGACGTTTCGGGCTTCACCCTAGGACAGGGGTCGGCAACCTACGGCTCCGGAGCCGCATGCGGCTCTTTACGGGCTGCTTCTTGACGATGAGTACGTATGTACTCAGATGCATTGCGGCTCTTGAAATACTGAATTTTGTACCGAATTGGAAAGAAATGGCTCTTCTTGTTATTTTGGTTGCCGACCCCTGCCCTAGGACAACTCGTTGGTATACAAACATTAGCGATGCGTGCGTGGGATTAGGCCTCGGCAAGGTAAGGTAAAAGTTAAAAGGTAAAAACAACGAGCCTACCTTTTTTACCTTACCACAATACAATCACTGTACCCTACCTTTTACCCTTTAGCAGGTAAGGTAAAAGGTAAAAAGCAACGAGCTTACCTTTTACCCTACCTTTTACCCTTACCACATACAAATTACCCGATTACAGGGTAATTACTAGGGTACTACTACACATGAACAAGGTTTATAACGGTAAATGCTAGGTAGAGCGCTTTAATCATATAGAATACTCTCGATTATTCCAATTTTACACGCTTTCTTTTAACTCACTCTGTTGTCGTTTTTGTTGTCGTTATTGACGTTGTCATATCCTCAAATCTTGTAACTCAATTTTAACCCACTTCCTAATGTGGAATCGACTGCAAACTTGGTATACTTATGTCATACTCATGACAATATATTCTATCATAAAAAATGTATATATTTTTAAACATTATTTTGTATACGTTATGTTTCGGCTTGGGTATAATTGTCCACGCTCAACTGACGTTGGCTGTAAATCACCACGGTCCCCTTACGTTATGGCAAGCTTCGGGGCCACTTCCTGGAGTCGTGGAGTTCTGCCATTACGGGTACACTTAATAAAAGCGTGTTTTTTAATCAAGTTTGTTTTAATATTACTTATTAAATGGAGGCCACGGACTGCGCCACGGTGCTTTTAGCGTTAAACAAGGCACCGTATTTACCGGGTAATACTTCGCGCTTCCTTTACCCTACCGGGTAATTCTTCCGAGCTACCTTTACCCTACCCTTTACCCTTTTACCCGGTAAAAAGGGTAAATTACCTTACCTTGCCGAGGCCTACGTGGGATAGGGGAAGCGAGAGAAGCGAAACTTCTCCCCCCGAGGTTTGCGTGATGCGCTGCCGCGTGATGGTTACGGAGTGGGCAATGGTGCCCCCTTGTGGGTCGGATTTCACATGGAGCAAATGTAAACTCCGTTGAAAAAAAAAGAGCCGCATTGTCACACATCACTGCCCCTCCATTCATTCGCCGCGATGCCGTTTACCCTCCGCGAAGTCCAGCGAATCGTGGAAAACGCACATCTCCCCATCCACCAGCACGCACATTAAATATATCTCATTGGGCCCTTACTGCTGAAATACATTAACATCGAGTAGTAGGTTTTTACCCTTTTAAACTGGTACAAAACTGACACCAGTATAAAAGGGTAAAAACCCACTACTATATTTTGCCACTGGTAAAAGAGATCTCAGTGACATTAACATGTCTAGGATCTCAACAACGCCCCTCACCACGACTGCTTAAAAGCGCGCAATGCCCCGTTTGTGGACTCACGCGCTCAATTATCAACAATGCAATCCTGATGACGAAGTTTGGAAAGACAAATGGAGTTCACAAGACCCAACAATGTAGAAGATCTCTGGCTTCAATCTTCCATGAAGATTCTGGGCCACAACCCGTGAACCACATCCACTGCACAAACCATGGCAACAGACCGTGGTCCCCCAAAATTGAACCATTGAACATATCACGCCACAATGCCAGTTTCAAACGTGGAGGCATCATCACAGGGATGGACCAAATTTCGATTTAAAGCTTTCGTGACTGCAGGGATTCATCTTCTTGGTTCTTTCGGTAAAGTCACGTAGAAGGGAAGTAATAAAATAATAAAAATAAAACATAATAAAATAAAATAATTCTTACGACGTTTCGGCTACAACGCAAGCAGCCGTCTTCACCTGAAGACCAGTTTAAAAGGGTAAAAACCCACTACTATATTTTGCCACTGGTAAAAGAGATCTCAGTGACATTAACATCTGTCTAGGATCTCAACAACGCCCCTCACCACGACTGCTTAAAAGCGCGCAATGCCCCGTTTGTGGACTCACGCGCTCAATTATCAACAATGCAATCCTGATGACGAAGTTTGGAAAGACAAATGGAGTTCACCTGAAGACGGCTGCTTGCGTTGTAGCCGAAACGTCGTGAGAATTATTTTATTTTATTATGTTTTATTTTTATTATTTTATTACTTCCCTTCTACGTGACTTTACCGAAAGAACCAAGAAGAGGGATGGACCACTTCACGATCGCAATCATCTGACTCAAACGCCTTAATGTACTTTTCGTTGTCCCTCTACACCAGGGGTGGGGAAACTTTTTTTCTGCCAAGAGCCATTTGGATATTTATAACATCATTCGCGAGCTATACAAAATTATCAACTTAAAAATTAGCCTGTTATATTTGGTCAAACATTTAATTAACTCACCCCTGTGATGGCTGGAACTGCTTCTTTTCGGTGAAGCGTGTGATGTTAGCTGATATTGATGTTGCTACTTGCAACTGCTTTTCCAGGTTTGCTCCTAGATTTAATGCATTTTGAGTTCCGCCTGCAGTTGCCTTGGCAGGGCCAGATCAAATGATTTCGCGGGTCTCATAGGGCCCGCGGGCCGGACGTTCCTCAACCCCGCTCTACACCGACATCAGCCATACGGAAAAGCTGCTATCCCACCACGTTTTGACTCTCAGCCAACACCCCTGCAAGCAACAACGTGTCCTGCACAAGCCCACTTGACTTTGCATGTTCTTTCATGTGGTCCATCTTTGCGTTAATATAATTCCAAGCTTGCAACTCTCCAAGCTTCGTTGCATCACTTTCGAATTTTGTTTTTCTTTGTGTCAGCGTTTTTGATCCATGTCATTACAAGTCGTATGCACCAATTAAAATGTTCTCTATCCACACTGGAGTTTATCATCAATGTTATCCATAGGTCACCTTGGCGACACCACATGGGATCCCCTTTACTACTCGCAGCCCCAACTTTGAGCTCATTCCCACGCGTGTGTAGTGTGTGTGCGCGCACGTGTTATTTCTGTGTTCAAGCAGTGATGTCTGGAGACGGGGCTGTACAAACAGGATTTATTTCGTCTATTAAGAACACCGCAGGAATGGAACAACAATCACACCAACATTGTTGGGAGACGTGGAGATGCCGAAGAATCGCTTAGCGTAAAATCACACCTCGCTAAATTCACAATGTCAAAACCACGTGAATGAAACGTCAAACCAATATTGTTGGGATACGTGAAAATGCCTACGAATCCCTTAGTGTGGAACCACACCTCGCGAAATTCACAATGTTACGCATTTTTCTAGCCTCTAAATGCCGCTGAACAAAAAAAAACA